GCGTAAGGGAGAGAGAGAGAGAGAGAGAGAGAGAGAGAGAGAGAGAGAGAGAGAGAGAGAGAGAGAGACTACAATCGCGAACTGCAGATCCTAATTAACGTAATATGCTGTTCGAATTTTTATTATGAACAAATCTCTCGAGCGAAAAGGAGTGAAAATGGAGGGCGAGAGGAAGATACAAATATCGAATCTTCTTTACACCCTCTTTCTATTATTTTTTGCTCAATCTGCGGTTCAGCCTCCTCTTCGTCGTATTCTTCGTTGCTCGCGGCTGCTTTTTGCCGTCCAGTCGATCGTAATCGGCACACTATATTTCCCAAAATTAATCGTGATAAAATTAATAGGGCGAGATAGCAAAGAGGGATGCGCACGCATGCATACGCGACGATTGCGAAAAGAGAGCGAAGAAGAGAAAGCATTTTTTTTCTACTCTTCCTTGCATACTTCGTTCAATAAATGGGTTTTATTTGACGCGGCACGATTGATCACGTTTCAGATTATCGTTTCCCTCCGGTCACTCGTCCTTCTCGGCTTACACCATGATCTATCTTGCGGTAAGTAGTCTTTACATTATGTAAGAGAATGTTGCATTGATTTATAATTTGTGCGAGCTAGATTATAATCATCCAACGAATCTAATACGAGTGTATCGGTCTGCGAATGATTTCTAGAATTTTCAGCCGCAAACATCAATTTACATAATTTAATACGTAAAGGATCAATTACGCTAAATTCTATTAAAGGTTCTCTACATAAACGATCGTAGAATCTTAAGTTGTAGGAAATTGATTAGTTCTAATCGAATATTCTCCTTATATTATATTTGATTACAATTGGTTGATTTCCTATGACTTAAGATGACCATCTACAACTTCTATGTAGAGGACCCTTTACGATTTGATCTATATGCTTCTGACAAAGCTAAATCAATACGATAATTATATCTGTTATTATAAAAGTAATTAAGATTTTGAATATTAAATTAAATTTGAATTAATTGTGAATTATTTTGTATTATTTAATTTTATATATGTATATATGTATATATGATATGTATATATGATATTGTAATAAATTTAAAAAAATGCGACTTATCTAATTATAGAATTATAAAATTGATTAAATTGCGTTTGGGTTCTCTTTTTGCACTCTAAAATTTTCTATTTACCTATTCAATTTTATATATATATATATATTTTATGGTTTTATTTTAATGAAAAAAGTTTCATTGATAAATTCAATCAAAATTTTATCTACTGTAAGATTAAGTTTTTATTGTTTTTAATTTATAAAATTAATAATGCTTGTCTCTTTCTCTCTCTCTCTCACACACATACACACACACACACACAC